CCTGGCATGCCTTTTTTTAAAAAACTGATTTATTTATTTTTACTTGTTTTTGTAGCATGCCTATTATTTCTTGCACGTCTCAGCTTGTTACTTCTGATTTATGGAAGTTTTCCAAGCAGTCTCAGGGTGAGTCACAGTATGGCTGTCAGACAGCAAAAATGTTGATTCTGATGAGCTTTTACCATGAGAAATGGGCTTTAAGAAAGGTGTGTGAATGGGATGATGGAGTGATCACTGCAGCTTCTTGAACTGTTTCAAAATGTACAGGTTGAGAGTGAGGACTGAATTTTTCTAGTCGTGTGTAAAACTTGTGAACTAAAATTAGACCTTTAAGTCCTGCAAGCCCTTTTTCTTTTTGTTCATCTTCAAAAGGATTCTATTGTGGAGAGAACTAAATTGAGTTTCCTCTTCTGTTCTTCATGTCAGCACACATTTTGGGAGTAGTTACAACAGACTTTTTCCCTCTGTTTAAATGCTGAATCTCCAGTTTCTCTGCCAGGTAGCTTTGAAGACCTTGGGCAGGGCGGGGATGTCGCGGAAGTCCTAGGGCCTGCTGCAAGGATTAGTCCCAGTTGCTTGCTTGAGAAATGGACCAACTGTGTCGCGAAGAAGAGCCTGGGTTCTTTCTTGGTTGTGCCCAGGACTGGTTAAAAGCACATGTGCTACTGGAATGTACAGTAATACAGAGCAGCTTTATACGCTCTTCTGATAAAATCATACTACAGCACCTGGTGGCCTAGCGGCTAAATTCCTCACCTTGAATACGCCGGGATTCCATATGGGTGCCAGTTCTAATCCCAGCAGCCCCGCTTCCCATCCAGTTCCTGCATGTGGCCTGGGAAAGCAGTTCAGGATGGCCCAAAGCCTTGAGACCCTGTACCCACATGGGAGACCCGGAAGAGTCTCCTGGCTTCGTATCGGTGCAGCACCAGCCATTGTAGTCACTTGGGGAGTGAATCATCAGACGGAGTATCTTCCTCTCTGTCTCTCTCCTCCTCTCTGTATATCTGCCTTTCCGATAAAAATAAATAACCTTTTTTTTTTAATTGCAAAAATTATACTACACCTCTGTGTTGCTGTCTTTTCTTTCTACAGTGTATGATTTCCTTGATTTTTATATGTTTTGGGTTTCTTCAGTGTTTAATTATACATCATAAAAATATTTTTGTTAGTAGTCTATCCGTGAACCATTTTGTTTCATCAGTCTTTTCTGAATTCCTTTCATTTTTATTTTCCAGTCGTGAACATACGATTGATAAAACTGTAAAGGTGGCAGAAGAGAAAGATGCAGGCAGACTGGCGCTGGGGAGTCGGGGACGTGGGTGTGTGGGCTGGGTGTCAGTGTTGCTTGTAACACTGTAGTGAGTGCAGGCATCCCCACTTCCCTCCCTGCCGGAGTCCAGCTCCAGCTGAGTTCGGAGCTCGAGAAGGGTGCGTGAAGCAGGCGTAGAAAGAAAGAAGAGATGGACCACTACAATTCCAACATCATTGTGGACCACGTGAGAAAGCTGTCTGCTTTATTTATACAGAAGCAGTACACAGTCTTTTTTTTTTTTTTTAAGATTTAGTTTTATTATTTTTTTATTGGAAAGGCAGATATACAGAGAGGAGAGACAGAGAGGAAGATCTTCCGTCCGATGAGTCACTCCCCAAGTGAGCGCAACGGGCCGATACTATGCCGATCCGAAGCCAGGAGCCTCTTCTGGGTCTCCCACGTGGGTGCAGGGTCCCAAAGCTTTGGGCCGTCCTCGACTGCTTTCCCAGGCCACAGGCAGGGAGCTGGAAGGGAAGCAGGGCTGCCGGGATAGAACCGGCGCCCATATGGGATCCCAGGCGTGCAAGGCGAGGACCTTAACCATTGCGCCACCGCGCCGGGCCCCACACAGTCTTTTCTTAGGGCATTTTGACATAGCTTCAAGGGGGCACAATTTACAACAGCTTGAGAGGTGAGTGAGGGAGGACTCCACATTCTTTGCTTATCTCGGCTTGCCAGCCCCTACTTACCTCCCTCAAGTCTGGGTCCCATCCTTGGCGCTGCCTGTGACAACCAGACCCCTACCTTGAATTACGCATGGAAAAAGGTCTGAGACCTTGGTTTATGGGGATTAGGGTATTGGCACCAAAGGTCATTAGGTCTGCAGGATCACACAGTTTGTTAACTAAGCAAGAGTTACAACGACGGAAAGAACTGCAATTAGCAATGAGCCATGTTTACTCCATTTAGGTTTCTGCTCTACAATGGGCAAGTAAATGCTTCCAAAGATAACTCTACAGATAGTTTCACCTTAAGACAGGGCATTATCCATTCTGATGTTGCAGCCAATATTTTCTCAGTAGACGACACATCTTATTCAGTAATACATTCCTACTACAATTCTTATTCTATAACTTATCCATCACTTAATGAGAGAAATACATCAAAAGAGAAAAAACATAAAAATCTAAGACAAAAGTTTCAAACATTAAATCCCTCTACAATTGCAGGTTCTACAACCTCATAAATGATCAAACAATAATCAAAAGTATACATGATGTTAGTAAAGTCACCCTATATTTCCTCTAGTTAAAAAATTATGAAGGCAGCCAAAGCAATTACATTTACTATGTTCTAAAGAGTTGAGAGTTGCAAGGACAGGCTAACCTTTAAGGTCACAGTAAGTATATTTTTGCCATAGCAGGATAACCTTTAGGGTCACAGTAATTATAACAGGATAACCTTTAGGGTCCCAGTAACAGGATAGCTTTTAGGGTCCCAGTAGCTATATTTTTTGCCATAGCAATTTCAACCCATACTCCCATCACTTCCATTAGTTTGTGAAACTCTTATCAGGCCATTTCCCAGAAAGCATGCTAAATATTTGAGCCAGATCTCAGAGCAATGGTGAGGCACACAATAAGGTGTCTGGAAACAGCATGGGCTTATTAATTGTACTCCTGTGCGCAGTTAAAGGCCCACTCACCAAGACATTATCAGTAACATTAACTTTTTAGCTCGTGTTGGTTGTAAAAGCCATCTCACAGGGGCAAACTATGCCTAATAGATTGCAGAATTCTTAGTGGGGTGGTTGAGTGTCCATGCAAACAGGGGGTGAGACTGCAATAAGGTGGTCAGAGAGAAATCCGCTGGGCTCTGCCAAACAGCTGGAAGCTCCCTTGGGCTCTGCCAAGCAGGGGAGCTATTCTCTTCACACCTTCGTGTCATCCATACCTACTGCATGGACCCCAGCACCTCCATACTCAATAGGAAATCTAAAACTATATTTACTCTTTCTTCTGGTGTTTTTTTTGTTTTGTTTTGTTTGTTTTTAAAGATCTAGTTATTTTTGTTGGAAAGCCAGATTTACAGAGAAAAGAAGAGCTGGTTCACTCCCCAAAACGCTGCAGCATCTCTCACATGGGTGCAGGGTCTCAGCTTTCGAGCCATCCTCAGTTGCTTCCTCAGCTAGGCCACAAGCAGGGAGCTGAATGGGAATTCGAGCAGCTGAGACAACAACCAGCACTCCTGTGGGATCCTTCCTGGCGCTTCCAGAGGGAATATTAACCAACTGAGCCATTGCACCAGGCCCTGTGGTGGTTGTTTTAAGATTTTTTTTCTTTGTTTGAAAGGCAGATTTTATTTATAGAGTGAGAAGGAAAGATGAAGTCTTCGTATCTACTGATTCACTTTTCAAATGGCCACAGTGGCCAGAGCTGAGCTGATGCAAAGCGGGGAGCCGGGACGTGAACGCAGGGTCTCAAGGACTTGGGCCATGCTCTGCTGCTTTCCCAGGCCGTTAAACAAAGGGCTGGATTGGTGTTGGAGAAGCAAGGGCAGGAACCAGTGTCCATAGGGATGTCTGTGCCCCAGGGAGGAGGATTAGGCCACTGTGTCATCACACAACCCTTCATTGTTCCTTTTTAGTCTTTGTATTTACTTATTTGGACGGCAATGGTAAATCTTTCGTATGCTGGTTGACTCTCCCCACATGCCCGTAACAGCTGCAGCTGAGCCCAGCTAAAGCCACACTTGGAGCTCTGTCTGCTTCTCCCACACGTGTGGCAGGCACTCAAATGTTTGAGCCATCTGCTGCCTCCCAGTGTGAGCTCTGCCACGGGCCAGATCTGGCCGTCCATCTGTAGGTTCACTCCTCAAGTGTCTGCAACGGCAGAGTGGGCCAGGCTGAAGCCAAGAGCAGAAACTCCATTCAGGTCTCATGTGTGACAGGGACTTAAGTGTTTGAATTCTACGTATTTGTAGTAGAGTGACGTCAACTCCTCAGATAAGTCTTGTGGGATGGCAGGGGGAAGACAGGCAGACAGTAAACCAGTCATGTGAGATGGGGGGCATGTTAAGTAGGTTAGTGGAGAAAGGCCCTGGTTAGGTAATGTTTCAGTGGAGAGCTAATTTAAAACCTGGCTGGGAAAGGACACTCCTCAGGTAAAGAGGAAAACAAGTGAAACTGGCCCAGGAGGAAGTGGGTCCCTATTACTTGAGCAACACAGATGATCCTGTGAAGTGAGTCAGAATGGGAACCCAGCACCGACTTATCTGCTCTAGGTTTACAGTGGAGGGTTTTAAACAAGGAATGACATCTAATTGGGAGGAAAACTGTGGACTTGTTAAGGTTTTTAAAAAAAATTTTCATTCTTTAATTGCAAAAGCAGATATAGAGAGACAAGGAGATACACAAAGATCTTCCATCTGTTGGTTCTCTATGCAAATGGCCACAATGGTCGGAGCTGAGCTGATCTAAAGCCAGGAGTCAGGAACCTCCTTTGGGTCTCCCACATGGGTGCAGGGGCCCAAGGCTTTGGGCCGTCCTCCGTCCTTGACTGCTTTCCCAGGCCACAAGCAGGGAGTTGGAAGCAGCTGGGACATAATCCAGCACTCATGTGGGATCCCAGCAGATGCAAGGCGGGATTTAACCAATATGGCACCAGACCCCAAAACTGTGAGCTTCCAGTTTGGCTCCTTGTTAACTTCTCAGTACTTTTCATTGTTCGATCTTTTCTTGTTATAGATTGTCTATGCTGAAAGGCCTCTTACAGACAACCACAGGTCACTGGCTTCTTATGGCTTGAAGGATGGGGACGTTGTGATTTTACGACAGAAGGAAAGCACAGACCCTCGACCTCCGGTGCAGTTCCCAAGTAAGCATTGCCCGCTGGTTCAGCAGCCCCGGCACAGGCATTAGGAGCCAGCAGAGTGTAGCGGGACAAGAATGAAAATCCCAGCCGTGCCTCTTGCATGCTCTGTGACCCTGGATAAGTTATTCAACTTCTCTGAATCAATGTCCTCTTCTTTAAAAAGTACCATAATTATCCCAACCCATAGAGCCGGGCTGAGAATCGTGCATATAGAACCTTTAGCACGTAGCAGGCTTTCAATAAATGTTAGCTCATGTTATCTGTGATAATTTTCCTTTTCTGTTTATCCTTGACAGGAATTTGAGAGGTGACATGAGCCTATAATTCCTAACTTTTGTTGCTTTGTATCTGGCCTTTAGTAGCTTTTGTAAAGCAGCCAGGACACAAACCAGTGCCCACATGGGATCTTGGGGCGTTAGCCACTAGGCTGTCGTGCTGGGCCCCTCACAGACAGAAGTTTAACCAGCTATGCAAAAATGCTGCCTTGCCTCCAATCCTTCTCCCTTTTTAAAGATTTATTTATTTTTATTAGAAAGTCAGAGTTACAGAGAGAAAGAGAGAAAGATCTTCCGTCCACTGATTCATTTACCAACTAGCTGCCACGCCACAACTGGGCCAATCCAAAGCCAGGAGCCTGGAACTTATTCTGGTTCTTCCATGTGAGTGCAGGGTCCCAAGCCTTTGGCCCATCCTCAGCTGCTTTCCCAGGCCACAGCAGGAAGCTGGGTGGGAAGCAGAGCAGCCAGGACATGAACCGGTGCCCGTATGGGATCCCAGTGCTTCCAAGGTGAGGACTTTAGCCATTAGGCTATCTTGCCAGGCCCAGTCCCTTTTTTTTAAGCAACATCTTTGTTGATATATAATCCTTGTCATACAACTCAACTATTTAAAGGATACAGTGCAGTGTTGTCTAGTATATTTCCCGAGTTGTGTAATCATAACCACAATTGATTTTAGCACATCGTCTTCCCCTTACAGTGAAACACTACCTGTTAGCAGTCATTGTCCATCTCTCCCACTGATCTACTTCGCATATTGATTTGTTTCTGGATGTTTCATATAAGCTGATTCATGTAATGTGGGAACCCTCATATTAGGATTGTATCTCTCCTTCGTTTTGGTATAGTCAGCCTAGGCCAGAGTGTTGAAGCTGGTTTGTACCTTGTGTTTTAATTTAGAGATTTATTTATTTGAAAGGCAGAGTTACAGAGATAGAAAGAACAGGAGCTAAAGATCTTATATCTTCGGGTTAACTCCTCAAATGGCCACAATGACCAGGACTGGGCCAGACCCAAGCCAGGAGCTGAGCGATTCATCCGTTTCTCCCATGTGGCCTTAGGGGCTCAGGCGCTTGAGCCGTCTTCTGCTGCTTTCCCAGGTGCATCAGCAGGGAGCTGATCCAAAGTAGAGCAGCCAGGAGTCCAGCCAGCCCCTGTTGGAACTTCTAAGCATGTGGCAAACTCGGCAGCCTCTGCCATAAGAGCCTATGCTAGTGTCTCCTGATCCTCTGTCCTGTAAAATGGGGGTGCCTGCCATCTGCCCAGTGGGGGATTTGGAGTGAGCGGTGCCAGGCAGTCGGATGTGCACATTGCAAGAACTGTTAGAGTCTCGTGAGCCAGTGTGCTGAATTTGGAGACTGTAATGTACTGTTTGCTTGGTGAGGATGAGCCTTTTCCCCCATCGAGCATCCTGGCGGCCTGTGGCAGCCCAAACAGGGATGTGGCTCCTGAGAGCAGATTCAGCCATCGCCTGGGACACCATCTTCCCACGTGAGCACTGGTTCCAGTCCAGACCTGCTGATGTACCTGGGCAAGCAGTGGAAGGTGATCCAGGTGCTTGGACCCCTGGCACTCAAGTGGGAGATGCCGGTGGGTTTCAGGCTCTGGCTTTGGCCTGACCCAGTTCTGGCCATTGTAAGTGTACCAGCAAATGAAGGATCTCCGCCTGTCTCTTTCCGATTCTGCCTTTCAAATAAATAAAATAGATATTTTGAGTTTAAAAAGGGGACCATACCTAGAATTACATTTACTAAGACTGGCTTTAATTTAAAAAAAAAAATTGTTTTAAGTTGTAATATAAGGAGAAATTTTGGAGTTTCTAGCATTGCCTGCCCTTTGATTCGCTGTCAGACTGCCATTTTCATGTTCGAAGTCTCTGAAAGAGCAAGGGTAAAGCATTTTTCATGGTCACCACTTTGGGCTGTTACACACTACTGATGAGCAAATGTTTTTCGCTGTTTCCTTCAAGCACTTGTTTTTCATGGAGCTGAGTGAACTTTGAGTTGGTTCTTCCCACAGACTTGCCCCGGATCGACTTCAGTAGCATAGCTGTGCCTGGCACATCGAGCTCCCGGCAGCGCCAGCCAGCTGCCGTGAAGCCGTCCCACCTGTCTCCTGGGGAAACATCCTCATCACCTCAGGGCCTGGACAACCCAGCCTTGCTCCGAGACATGTTGCTGGCCAACCCGCATGAGCTGTCGTTGCTGAAGGAGCGCAATCCACCCCTGGCAGAAGCTCTGCTCAGTGGAGATCTCGGTAGGACTGTCCAGCTGACCTGGCTGAAGTGGTTGTGCCATAGCACATGTGAAGAGATCCAGTGGCTGGTAGATACCACCAACTTCCTGGGATGCGGGTCTCCCACGCGGGTGTAGGCTCCCAAGGCTTTGGGCCGTCCTCGACTGCTTTTCCAGGCCACAAGCAGGGAGTCGGATAGGAAGTGGAGCTGCTGAGACACAAACCGGTGCCCATACGGGATCCCGGAGTGTGCAAAGCAGGGACTTTAGCCACTAGGCTACTGTGTCGGGCCCTGGTATTTATTTCTACACTGGATTTACATGACTAAATAGTGTTTGTCTATTTGGAAATGCAGATATGCAGAAGAAGGAGATAACAGAAAGATCTTTCGTCCACTGGTTCACTTCCCAAAGTGGTCATTACGGCTGCAGCTAAGCTAATTTGAAGACAGGAACTAGGAACTTCTTTCAGGTCTCCATGCAAGTGCAGGATCCCGAGGCTATGGGCCTTTGACTGCTTTCCCAGGCTGCAAGCAGGGAGCTGGATGGGAAGTGGTGTAGCCAAGATATGAACTTGTGCCCATATGGGATCCTGGTGGATGCAAGGAGAGCATTTAGTCATTAGGCTATTGTGCCGGGCCTGATTTACTGCCTTCAAGAATTCGAAGTAAATATAATTGCTTGTTTAGTTATCCTTTCTACATGTTTTACAGTTGTGGGTTTTTTTTGTTTGTTTGTTTTTTTTAAGAAATTGCTTGGTGTCGAAAGTATTGATGATGAATCAAAATATAAGTTTGCTTCCTTATCGTTACAGACAGATTTTCCAGAGTCCTGGTGGAGCAGCAACAGGACCGAGCTCGGAGAGAGCAGGAAAGGATTCGTCTGTTTTCTGCTGACCCTTTTGATCTTGAGGCTCAGGCCAAGATAGAAGAAGATATAAGGTAACCTCGGTCTGTTCCTCACAATTTGGTTCAACACTGGTGAAGTGCAGATGCCCAACTTGGACTGTCTCTTCTAAACCAGCAGATGCAGGCATCACTGAAGCAGCGGCAGCATAGCGAGCCCGGGACGGAGCGTGAGCCCTGGTGGGCACTGCGCAGCTCAGATACAGTAACTGCATTCTGTTTTCGTAGACATACTGTGTGCACTGACCAAATCCAGGGATTGGACCATGTCTCTGCCGGTGGGGCCTGCTGCTGCAGTTCTTGTATTTTCCTCACTGAATACGCTGACTAGTCACATTTCAGCTCCTGTTTCCATAATGCAGTGGTTCTCACCTGAGGCTGCATGAAAATTCCTTGAGAAGCTTTAAATCTGCAGTACCAGCATTGTGGTTACCTAAATGAAACCTAACCTGATCGAAATATCCGTTGTCAGATAATGCTTTTTATCTGAAATTGGACTGGGTATTTTGGGTTGTTTGTTTTGTTTTTATTTTATTACTTGGCATATATGATTGCCCCAAGTCATTAATTCATGTTGTATCAGATATTGGTAAATATCACTTAAAGACCACTCACTCATTTAATCTCTCAGGGGAAGCGAGAAGATATTTGTTCTGAACTAGGTTGCCAGTCATCTGTGAGACAGGTCTGGCACCAGTTAAGTTTGTAGAGTAGCGTTATTCAACCTGGGAAACGGGGGTAGAAAGACAACCAAGGCAGTCCTGGAAGAGTAGAAGGAAAATGGAGTGGGTCGTGAGGCTTCTGTTTCCTTCCAGGGGCGGGGTAAGGAAGCAAGGTAACAGATCATTCTTCTTAAGCAGAAAACCTTGTGCCTCCGACAGGTATCTACTCGGAACCCAGAAGAGTCAGAATATCTAGTGTTTTCTCTGGATTTTTGCTGAAAGTTGTGCTTGGGTGGAGTCAATGCAAGATGAGGGGCACAGGGTCACTTTTAGGGTATTTCGAAGTTAAGCAATGTGCAAGCTATTCAGTTACATCCAATGTCTGTAAAGTTGTATTTGCTCTGTTCCACCAGTGATCACATAGTTATTTGGACCCTGAGGTGTTAGCATATTTGCCACAGTAAATTAAACAGGGGTGCCTTTGGTTTCCTGAAAAACGTCACTTTTTTTTTCTTTTTCTCTTTTTTTGCAAAGTGGCTGATAAAGCTATAGTCTCAGTTGAACCTAGAGTCCTGTTACAGAAAGCATGGGCACTGTGGCTTGGGATGAGGGCCAGCAGACACTCTGTAAGGGGTCAGGTCATGAATATTTTAGACCTTGCATGCCGTATGGTTCTTGCCTCACTCACGGCTCTACTGCCGCTATGTGGAAACAGCTGTAGAACATGTGAGTGCTTGATGTCATGTAGAAGCGTTTTTATTCAGACAGATGGTGGGCTGATTTACACTGGGCCTTACCAGGATCTTGACTCCTTTCTCTTACTGTCTCAGTCTTCAGATTAAATTGCCCAGACACTGACCTAGTTTCCATTAATTTGGTAATGCTTGGTGGTATTTTTCCCTCCTTTTTTTTTTTTTTCTGAAAAAGATTGGGAAGATGATAGGGTAAACCAGAACTCATATCTGTATGCTTGTCTCATGTATACGTTAGATACATTAGATTAAGACATGATTTGATGAGCCAAGTGAACTGTGATACAGCTGTGTTCAGTTTCATTGATACATGTTTTATGCATCTGCTCTTGGATGAGTGCTGTTTATGTCTTACACAGTGGCAAGTATCGTTTTTAACAAATGGGAAAACCCAGTCCCGGAGCCAAAGCATCCGGTACAGCAGAAGCCACTGAAAGACTTGACTCTTTTCTGCTGCCAAATTGGGCATCAGAAATGTCCCTTGGCACTCAATAAATCCTCAGTTAAATTTGGAGCATTCAGGAAATCCTAACATTCTACATGGTAATAAAGCATGGTGCCACATTGTAGTCCTGATGTTTCTTCTTTCTGCACTTGTAAAGGGACCAGCCATGTTATTGTATGAGAGATGCTCTGTCAGCCCTGCCTCACTGCCTCCTGCGGAATCACTCATTGCAACATACAGCACCAGTTTCAGTTCCCATTCTTGGCTGCTCTGCTTGGGCACAGGATATTCAAATCTGTTTTTAATATTGTGACTTTGAAACAGGTTTCTGTTCATGGAAATAATGTTAGTGTACCTGGCTTTGGGTTTGTTTCAGGCAACAGAACATTGAGGAAAACATGACGATAGCTATGGAAGAAGCTCCGGAAAGTTTTGGCCAAGTAGTTATGCTTTACATTAACTGCAAAGTGAATGGACATCCTGTGAAGGCCTTTGTTGACTCAGGTGATGTCTCTGTCTTTTGTGCCTTGGGCCCCGCCTTCAACACTTGATGTGATGTGGAGAGGGAAGCGCAGGAGTGCCCTCCTCGAGTGCCCACTGACCGATGCTGTACACTTGCTCCTCTTTTTATTGGAGATAGGTTTATTCTATGGTCTTTTTTTTTTTTAATTTTTGACAATCTTTACATAGTTAATTAGAGTAAAAAGTTTCAAGGGCTACAGGAAAGTGGGTAAGACTATTTATTATTTCCATATTGTTTCCTTCATGTATCTGAGGCAAAGGGGGATATTAAGGGAGAAGCCCCACCCAGTCTTCCCACCCACCCCAGGTCCCAGATGAGGGGCATGCTCTGAGGGTCTTGCTCAAGTGGTTTTGGTAGTTCAACAGTTATGAATTGCTGCCAGTCTCGCCACTCCAAGCATGATGAGGTTGTTGAAGAATCCACTGAATGACATAGTACATGTTAGAGTCTCCGTTTGCCCAGTTTTTCACTGCCAACATATAGCTGAAGTGGTTGGTTGAGTTGTTCTGTCCTCTGTCTTTTCATGGTTAGGATTCTGAATCCGGCAGTTCGATTGGGGAGATCCCAAAAGAAACTTTGCCTGAGGTGTTCCCAGACCAGATTCTTGAATGTGCTAGCAAGTATAAGGCCCGGCACAGTCCATTGCCTTAATCGGCTGGTTGTTGCAATTGCTGGGTTGGTTTTGTTTTCAGCCCTGACTTCCACTGGAACCAATGGGTATTGCAGTCCAGCCTGATTCTACCCAACACACACTCGGCCCTCACACAAACCAGTGGGGGCTGCAGCCTAGTTGGGACGACTCATAATAACCCCCACGAGGCTCGCCCCCTGCCCTGGTTTGCCAGTATGTGTAGCAGACTAGTCCAGTCTGTCCCACATCCCATTCGGCTCTTATACATGTCAATGGGTATTAAAGCCTAGTTCTATCTAACCAACTATTTTGAAATAGTTATTTGTTTTTATTGGATAGTCAAATCTACAGAGAGAAGGAGACAGAGGATCTTCTATCTGCTGGTTCACTCCCCAAGTGGTCACAGCGGCTGGCTGAGCCAATCTGAAGGCAGGAACTGGAGCTCCTTGAGGAGTCGACCTGGGGGAGGAAGGGCACTTTTCTTTCCCTCCTTTCCCTTTTTTTCCTCTGTCTCTCAGATAACAGAAATCCTTTTATTTTTTTAGATAAATGCTACTAAAATGTAAATATTTTTTAAAAGTGAAAGTCTCTTAAGATCTTTTGAACACATGAAGAAATGATTTATTTGAAGAAGGTGATATAAGGAAGAGGGCAGATCAGAAAAGTTTTGTATAATCAAAGATTAACTCAGTTTCCCTGTTTGAAATGAAGTGGTTTGGAAGGGAACAGGGTTTGGGCTAGGCTGATAGCAAAGGTTCCAAGAGGGAAAATCGGAGATAGCAGAATTGCATAGAAGTTACTTACAAATTTGGGACTGAGTTAGCAGAAAGAAGGTTAAAAGAAGCAAAGTTAAAAGTAAACTACTGGAGCTCAGGGGAATGGCTCAGTAGCTAAATCCTTACCTTACAAGCCCTGGGATCACATATGGTGCCAATTTGTGAACCAACTGCTCCACTTCCCATCCAGCTTCCTGCTTGTGGCCTGGGAAAGCAGTAGAAGATGCCCCAAGACCTTGGGACCCTGTAACCATATGGGAGACCCAGAAGAAGCTCCTGGATTCAGACAAATGGGAGATCTGTCTCTCCTCTCCATAAGTCTGCCTTTCTAATAATAATGATAACAAAAACAAGATTTTAAAACTGGGCTTTGTACAGTACAATGTTATAGCCGATGAGGTTTATCCAAGGCACAATTATTGCTAATTGAAAACTTTTCTACACAAAATAGTGAACTAAACCCAGATTTTATGAAGACTTCTAGAAGATATTAGCAGAGCTAGAGAGATTCTAAGTGAGAGTTTTACACTTGTTGGGTTTAAGATAGAAAGCGCAACACACAGCCATGTGGATCTAGAGTTGAAACTGTTAGATGAAAGAGACAGGTTGGTCAGCTGCACGAACTGATGGCAGCTGTCTTCTTGTGATGGTGAGAATATTTTAAATGCCCTCATGTTTAAAAAGAAGAGAGTCTAATTGGGGAAGAGTTTGGACATTTGATTGTTTGGGAAAAGATGGGATATATATTTTTAACTGAGAAGCCATAATGTCCCAAAGTTTGAAATAAAAATAACTTTGTTAAAGTACTCAATGGGCCCAGTGAAAACTGCATTGATTGTGAAGTATTGCCAAACTTCATGTTGCCGTGGGTAGACAGAACAGTCACCGTTTTAACTTTCTAGAAGCCCTTTTCAGATTTTCTTCCTTTTGATAATTAATACATTATAATCTCTCCCTCATTGTCTAGCTGCCACGCTGTGTTTTAGATGCTATTTTATGGAAGTTCAGTTAAAGGCAACAAGGAAACCTGTTAGGTAGTAATGGATCTGGACCAGGCCAAGGTCAGGATTCTGGAATTTCATTCTGGACTGACATGCGGGTGTGATAGGGAGCTAGGTACTACAGCCATCAGCTGCGGCCTCCAGAGGATGTGCTTAAGCAGGAAGCTAGATCAATGATAGAGTCCTGATGCCTGGCTAGTTGATGCTGTGTTTTGTCTTGCCACAGATTGGGTTTTTTTAAATGGTCTGATGTTTCTGTCACTCTGCAGGTGCCCAGATGACTATTATGAGCCAAGCTTGTGCAGAAAGATGTAATATCATGAGATTGGTGGACCGTCGGTGGGCAGGGATTGCCAAAGGAGTGGGGACTCAGAAGATTATTGGAAGGGTGCATCTTGGTGAGTAGGGTAGTAGATTTTTTTAGCCTTTTTTTTTTTTCCTCAGTATGGATTCATCTAATCAAAGAGATTCTGACTCCTTGAAGCTTTAAAATCTGTTCCATCATCATAGGATTTACATGTTTCTGTTGGTTACAAAATAACCAGACTGGGGCCCACACCATGACTCCTGTCTCCCACCTTGTGAAGCTCGCATCCCGTATGGGCACTGGTCCGTGTCCCACCTGTTCCACTTCCAGTCCTGTTCCGTGCTGTTCTGTGCTGGGAACGCATTAATAAAGGATGGCCCAGGGCCTCAGATCAGCTCAGCTCCAGCCCTGTGGTCATTTAGGGACTGAATACAACATCCTCTGTCTATCCTCTGTAAGTCTGCTTTCAAATATATTTTTTTTCTTAATCTTTAGGGAAAAAACCCAAAATAATTAGATTTGTTATGCTCTTCTCATTCCTTCTCCTCAGACATACCCGTTTCAGTTACTTTAGATGATTTATTTTGGCACTGTCTATTCAAAATAAAAAGATTTGGCAACTGTTTACTGGTAGAGTAAATTACTGGTAAGCAAATGCCTTTCAGTGCTGAGCCATCCCCTTGGACGCAATTGCTTTTTTGTCTAGTATTCTTCTCTTTTAGAATTAATGATTGTCTCCCTCCATTTTGATGTGTCACTTGGTCTGCTGTGTGCTGTTCTTCTCTTAACACGTGTTTCATGCTACAGACATTTCCTTCACATAGGTTCAGACACATTTGATATCATGTACAAATCATACGTCTTCCAAACCTGAACTGGTAGTGGTCCGAGCCTGGTTTCAGCTGTATGAGTTTCTACCTTCCCTTACTCCTGTCCTTTTACTCACGCCCCCTTCTTTCTTTCTCTTTTTTTTTTTTTTTTTAATTAATTATTTGGAAGGAAGAGTAAGGGTCAATTTTCTTTTTATTTATTTATTTGAAGATTTATTTTTATTGGAAAGTCAGATATACAGAGAGGAGGAGAGACAAAGAGGAAGATCTTCTGTCCACTCGCTGATTCACTCCCTAAGCGGCCACAAGGGCCAGAGCTGAGCTGATCCGAAGCCAGGAGCCCACATTCTCTTCCAAGTCTCCCACACAGGTGCAGGGTTCCTAAGCTTTGGGCTGTTTTCAACTGCTTTCCCAGGCCACAAGCAGGGAGCTGGATGGAAAGCAGGGCTGCTGGGATTAGAACCCGTGCCCCTATGGGATCCTGCTGTGTGCAAGGTGAGGACTTTAGCCACTAGGCTACCGTGCTGGGCTCATCATGGGTTATCTTAACTGAAAATAGTAGTTAATAATACACCTATGTTCGACTTCTTGAGTTATCACCCACTGCCTGATGGACACTGCCCGCCCCCGTGCTCGTTTGCAACTCGCTGTAATTGGGAGAAGAGCTAGGCCTTGAGCCCAGGCCGTCCACTGAGGGATGTATTCTGAGAAGCCTCTTAATCTTTTTGAACATTTGCGAGGTAGAGAGAGATACAGTCCACTGGTTCATTCCCTATGTGTTTGCAGTCACCTGAAATGGGGCCAAGGTCAGGAGCTGCAAGAATTGGGAACTCAATACAGTTCTTCCATGTAAGTAGCAACACAGCCACTTTAGCTGTCAGCACTGCCTCCCAGTGTGTGAGTTAGTGAGATGCTAGAATCAAGAGTTAAACACAGGGGTAGACTTGATGGTCCCAAGTCTAGACTGGGAGTAGGCCACCACTTGCCGTACTAATAACCCAAGTCAGGGTACTGGATCAGGTCCCGCTGCGCTGCTTCTGATCTAGCTCTCCTTCAGTGTGGCTGGGAAAGCAGCAGAAGATGGTCAAAGTACTGGAGTTCCTAGCACCCACGTGGGAGACCCAGATGGGGTTCCAGACTCCAAGTTTAAGTTGGGACCATCCCTGGGCATTTGGGGAGTGAGGTAGTAGACAGAAGATCTCTGTCTCTCAGTCTTGGTCTCTTTAACTTTCAGAGAAGCAAATCCTAAACTGGATACACAAAAAATGAGGCAGTGCTATATGAGTCATGAGCATCTTTACTGCTAGGCTAAATGCCTGGTACCTGAACTTGTTAGTTTTAATGTGTTTTCCTCACCAACTGGGCTTGAGTCCTAACGGCATGATCTGTGAAGTCAGGAGGTCTCACTGGATCCACTTTATGTGTTAACAGCTTCATTAGCTCTCACACTGGTCATTTGTTTTACCAGATTTTCCTGCTTGACTCGCCTATTTGCCTGCCTTGCCTTGGCTCCAGCAGACTGCAGGAAGCCAAGGCGTGGGTGGTGGATGCCAGGCTCACCTGGGGCTTTGCAGCCAGCATCGGGGTAACCTCTTCCCTGTCTGTGCTTCAGCTCAGGTGCAGATAGAAGGAGATTTCCTTGCGTGTTCCTTCTCTATCCTTGAGGAGCAGCCCATGGACATGCTCTTGGGACTGGACATGCTTAAACGGCATCAGGTAAGTAGCAGCTGCATTTCAGTTTTGCATCTGCTTTTTGTGTGTCATGTGGTTATTTTCAGATATCTGTTGGTTTCATATACAGGAAAACCAAGAATCTTGAGTTGCCAAAATTGGAAATATCTTTAACTATTTTTATACAAAGGTTGACATGATATTTCATAAAAATAAAAGGTATTGTACAATTTCTGTGAATCTGTTAAAATTCTGTTTTAACCTTATAATGAACAAGTGACTTCCTTTTGTAAATTTAAAGATTCTGGTTAGAATTCATGCAGTGTTTTAATCATTTATTGCAAGTGTAAATTATTTAAATCCTCAGAATTTTTTAAAGATTTAATTGTTTATTCTTAAACATTTATATATTATTTTTATTGGAAAGGCAGATATACAGAGAGGAGGGGAGTTTTTGGTCTGTTTGTTTTATGTAATTTGAAAGGCATGGTTATAGAGATCTGTCTGTTGCTTCACCTCCCTGAAGGTCAAATTTTACCAGGGTTAGGCCTGACCCATGCCGAGAATCAGGAGTTCCTTCTGGGTCTCCCACATGGATTCAGGGACCAGGCACTTGGGCCTCTTCCCCTGCTTTTTGTAGGCACATTAAGGAGACCCTGACAGGAAGTGGACAGCAAGGACTTGAAGCAACATGCGTGTGGGACACTGAAGTTGGCTTTAGCTGGCCCTGCAAGCTGAAATTATTTTCCCAAACAATATTTGCCTGTGTCAGTATTGTTTTTTATAAGTACAGTGTTCAGTTGAGACTGTGGTCTTTCCACATGACATTTGTTAGGCCACAGTACCCACTGGCACATGCAAGAGCCAGAATAATTGTGGGCCAGCTTGTCGCTGTCCTGTGGGCATGGTGCTGTCCTGCAGCGATGGACTTGGTGCACGGAGCCAATAATAACAGGTGTGGACTCTGACTGATGGTCAAAAGCAGAAATTTATTAGTGGCATCAGACTTTACACTGAGGGTCATGTGGGATAAGGGAGGAAGTATTGAGCTTATCAACAAAACCCATCAACAGTTTCTATGCTTTTGTTTGGAACTCCTTTTGTCTTGTATATTCCACCAAGTGTTCTCACTCATTCCTATGCTGTCCACTCAACTGTTCTCATACAAATGAAGCCAATCAGGTATAGAAAAGGTAGCCATTTGGTTGTTCTCATGCAAAGGATAGCACACAAAAGGCACCCATTCAGTTGTTTTCATACAAATATCCAATCAACTATAATCCTGTGCTCCTTGACCTTCTAGGGTCACAATGTCCTCCTACAACATTTTATGTACTGTTGTTCTTTTGCTTCTTCTTTCTCAGTGTTCCATTGATCTCAAGAAAAATGTCCTGGTGATTGGCACCACTGGCTCACAAACCACCTTCCTTCCAGAAGCAGAGCTACCAGAGTGTGCTCGGTTGGCGTATGGGGCTGTACGGCCAGAGGAGATTGCAGACCAAGAATTAGCAGAAGCCATTAGAAAATCAGCAGAGGATGCAGGTAATAGGAGTGACTGGAGTCTGACTGTTGCTCATGAACCAAGGAAGCACTTCAGAGGGGTCTCACCATCCAGGCGTAGACTATTAACATTTGTCTTACTGCTTCCTCCTGCTTCTTCCTTCAGTGAGCAGGTGCAGTGTTTCCGCAGGTCAGGAGCATCTTGCTGTGTGCAGCAGCACTGCAGTTACTTGGTTGGATTGTTTGGTTGGCTTCCTTTTTTTCCCTAATGGGAGTTGTAATACTGAACCCGCACTTTTATTTTCAGCCGTGTTCCCCTAAAAAATTTTTCCTTTTCATATGCCCATTTATTTTGGAGAACAGCATTGTCCCTGTGATGACAACACAGCCCTGACTTTTTAAATATTTTCTGAAAATGCTGCCACCGAAGGACAGAACTCACCAAAGGTGGGCAGCGTGACTGGCCTTTGGTCAGAGTGCACGGTTTCATGTCCTTCTTGGTCACAATGTGTGCTTGAGCCCTACCGAAGCTAGGTATCAACTACTAAAGTAAAGCTACCTTATCTTTTTTTCCTGTGGATAAAAGGTGCATGGTTGTAGCCTGTTCTAAGATGGAGCCAAGTTTTCTGGGTGATGTAAGGCAGTGCAGTCTGTGTTTAACAGTCCCCATCTGTTACACAACAGTGACTCTAGGATGTGTTAACTTTTTGTGTTTTTTTCTTAATTTCATAATTAATTGGAAGTGTGAAAAGTTTTGAGTTTTTTTTTTTTTTTTAAGATTTATTTACTTTTATTGGAAAGGCAGATATACAGAGAGGAGGAGAGACAGAGAGAAAGATCTTCCATCCAATGGTTCACTCCCCAAGCAGCTGCAACAGCTAGAGCTGAGCTAATCTGAAGCCAGGAACCTCCTCTGGTCTCCCATGCGGATGCAAGGTCCCAAAGCTCTGGGCTGTGCTCAACTGCTTTCCCAGGCCACAGGCAGGAAGCTGGAAGGGAAGCTGTGCCGCCAGGATTAGAACTGGTTCCTGTATGGGATCCTGGTGCATTCAAGGCGAGGATTTTAGCCGCTGTGCTATCACACCAGGCCCAGTTTGAGTTATCCTTAAAGTTTTGGGCTGAAGTTATTCATTAGTGTGATAGATTCCACACGTTGCTTTTCCGTTGCAGTGGAGTTTATTAGAGTTAACAATTTGAACCCTAGATAAAAGGGAAAGAACATTAGCAGCAGCTCAGGCGAGCAGCCTTGAACCTGGTTAGAATGGGTGGGGGAAGCAGATGGAGCTTCCCAAGCTGACCCTGTGCTACTCCCATCCATGAGCTTCTGTCTCTGTTTTACATATGAAATATGGTTTGAGTTGTGATTCTTATGTTTGTTGCAAGGGCAAGAAGACGCTAACGGTAGTTTTGATCTTTGCAGCAAGTCGTGCCTGAGTGAATTTGGCATATATACTCATGTTTTATGTTTTCAGAGTAGCTTTTCATGCAACATGTATGCTGTGTGTTAATGTTGCCATTTTGTGAAATGTTTCCCCCTTGTTTTTCATTTTAAATTTCATTTCCACAGTAACAGTGGTGCTAGCAAGGTGGTCTGGCCTTCTCACCACAGGTGCGCTGTTTGAGTGATTGCCTTTTTTTTATTTATTTGTTTATTCATTTTTTATTATTGGAAAGGCAGATGCACAAAGAGGAAGAGAGACAGAGAGAAAGATCTTCCATCCGATGATTTACTCCCCAAGTGACCGCAATGGCCAGTGCTGTGCTGATCCAAAGCCAGAATCCAGGAACAACTTCCAGGTCTCCCACACAGGTGCAAAGTCCCAAGGCTTTGGGCTGTCCTCCACTGCTTTCCCAGGCCACAAGCAGGGAGCTGGATGGGAAACAGGGGCTCAAGGATTAGAACCAGCACCCATATGGGATCCCGGTGCGTTTAAGGCGAGGACTTTAGCCACTAGGCCACGCCACTGGGCCCCCAAATTGCATTATTTTGATAGACAGACTGGGAAGCGCTAGCAGGTACTAGGTATTTTCAAACTCAGTGATGAAGATATGTCAATAACGGATTAAAAGGCAAGGCTTTTCCCCAAGTGAAAATCCAGTGCTAACATAGATGGCCTGTGCTGAGTTTTGAAGTAACTAACTGTGACATCAAATCCTGTTTCTGCTTTCAGTATCATTAAAATCACAACACTGTGGGTAACCGTTTCTTTGGTTACTTTACATCAGAATATCTCATCTTTTCTTCAATTGAGAGATTAGCCATTACATCTGATCCACTTTTTGAAATCTGGTTATTGTAAGAGAGGTAAAGCAGGAAAGTATTTAGGCAGATTTGGTTTGTTTCACTCTCAAAATGAATCTCAACTGAGAAATAAATTTGAAAAGTGACTGTTCCATGTGTTTGCTCACTTTTATTCCTTAAGATTTCACCTCTAATTCCAGTTGATGGGTCTACTTTTCTCGTCTAGCCCATGTTTGTTCATGAATTCTATGTATTGAATGTAAAATTGTTTGTTTTTTCAAGTTCTGTTAAAAATTTGCTAAGCATGATGTAGTCATATGTATTGTGAGAAGCTACTAGCAAATCTTGCAGATGTCCAGTCTACAGGAACATTCCCCAACTACCAGTTCGTGATTTTAAAATTGGCAAAGGAGTGGAAACTATAACCCTGCATGCTGTGTGGTTTGCGTTGTTAACCCGAGTTTGCTTGTCTGTTTCCTAATTCACACAGAGCGTCAGAAGCCGTGATGCATGTAGTGTGTGTGTGCTGCAGCTGGAGGGGGCCCCGACCAGGTATTTATAGACGCCGTGGTAAGCCTTCCGTCAGTGTCTTCGGCAACTTCTGTATTGCCAGTCTTGGAGCATGCTTCCGTCATGCATCTCACCTCATGCATTTTGATTACAGCCAGCCTGTGTGTACGTTTGTATGTTGGCAAATGTGTGAGAATAGGTTTGTGTTCAAAATCCTGTGAATTATTAGAGTAGTCAAGGAGGCCAGGGGATTTCAGTAAAAATCATTTCTGTTATCCTTGTCACATCAATTTGAGATAGCAAATCAAAAATATTGGTATCACAGTCCTTTGTTGTTGGAAGTAACTTTTTAAAAATGAATTTTATGAATCGCTTTTCTGAGAAAAGGAAAGCTCTTTATCAGATTGTTATGTGTGGCCACCTGGAATTCTAGGGATAGGGCATTTTCTCTGCGTTGAGGAAGCCATGGCTCTGTGTCCATCGTCATAGAGCTATAACATGCAAGTCTTACCTTCTGTTCTTGCATCAGCGCCTGAGTCTTTGGCTTGCCCTGTATTCCTCCACAGAAGACACCTGTACTCCATTTCCCTGTGGTGTCCATGTGACAGCCTGGCCGCGTTGGTTGAGAGATCAGCAGGGAGAGTTATCTATTACACTGGCCAGCTTAAATTTTCTAGGTGCCTGCAGGCTGGTTGTAATAAGATGCATAGCACTTGATTTCTTCTGTCTCTTTGTCCTGGTAAGGATGGGTTGAAGCAGATCAAGATTCGTTTTTCTTGATACCCATTGTTCTCATCCTCTTCTGTTGCCATGTAGTTATGACCCAGTCCTCCCCTACATTTAGAACTTAGGCCAGTGAAACTGACCATCTCTGCCTCAGGAGGCCTGATGCTGTTTTCCTAGTGAGTACAAAATCCATCGAAGGCCTCAGGTACCTGGACCTCATCTGGTTGTTTATATCAGTGGCATAGCAGTGCCATACAGCCTTTATCATCCCTTTCAGGTGTCCAGTATGGACATTGCACCACAATGTGTGTGTGTGTGTGTGTTTTTTTTTTTTTTCCTGTTAGCGTAAGCTGAAGTCTTAGAGACTGATAATATTCAATCTATCTTTAACAAAGACAAATACTGTTTTCCTGCTTATTGCTGAACTATAGGGTTAGGGGCACAGTGCTTTATCATCTCATACAGCTAACCAGGGTTTGATCAGAATGATTTAAAGCTATTTGAATTACAAACTGGATTGCTTTGTGGCTTAATAAAAGTTAAGGACTCACATTGGATGCTAAGATTTGACCCAAAGCCGTTGAGTTGCCCCATGCAACAACTATGTTGTAAGGCCATTTTTTCCTGCCAGCGTTTTGACTTTTTAAAAATTTTTATTTTCATTTTATTCAAAAAGTATACATAGATAATTTCTCCTTCTGCTGGGAGCAAAATCCCTGAAACAACCTAGCTTGGACTAGGCCAAGGGGTCCAGAGCTCCAGGTGGGTCTACCCACCTGGTTGACAGGCGTGAACATTAGCGTCAAGTTGGATTGGCAGCAGAGGAGCTGGGACTTGAACCTGACATTCTGTGTCAAAACTCACCACTGCTTTGTAGTTAGATCTGCCGTTTACTTAGAGGTGACTTTTCACTGGGTTAATGGAAAAAAGAAATTGGAATTAATGTTTTAAGTGATTGTTAGCTGTTCATACTGAGCTGATTTTTAGGCCTGCCACCTTATTTGAGTGGTCATTAATTCATAATGAACTTATTCATTGCCTTTAAAAAACTCTCTTACCCTACCAAGTTTCCTGAAAGTATATAACTTATTCTTAATGTAGCACTATTACTGTGGTGATGAATAATCCTTTATCTATCTGGAGACAGAGCCCTGCAATTCACTGGTTCACTGGTTTAGGCTAGACAAAAGCCAGGAGCCTGAAACTCAATATAGATATCTGTTGTGTGACAGCGACCTAATAACCATGTGAACCTCCTAGGGTACACATGAACAGGAAGTGGAGTAGCTGGGGTTCGAAACCCATGGACACCCTTGTGGCATTTTAACTGCTAGAGCAAATGCCTGCCTCCTGGGTATCTTTAAAGATTTATTTATTTTTATTGGAAAGTCAGGTATACAGAGAGGAGGAGAGACAGGAAGATCCTCCATCTGTTGATTCACTCCTGAGGTGGCCACAATTGCAAACTGAGCTGATCCAAAGACAGGAACCTGGAAACTCTTCTGGTTCTCCCACGTGGGTGCAGGGTCCCAAGGCTTTGGGCTGTCCTCAACTGCTTTCCCAGGCCACAGGCAGGGAGCTGGATGAGAAGAGGGGCTGCTGGCATACAAACTGGCACCCATATTGAGATCCCGGTGTGTGCAAGGTGAGGACTGTGCCAGGTCCTATGTAATTCTCAAATTCTAGTTATAAATGTCTCATCCATAATTCCAGTGTTCACTTAAAAAATACAAAAAATATATTGATATTTTAATCTACTGCAAAGATTTTCAAGACTTTTTGTATGCTTACAAGTTACCCAAGGAGTTTATTGAAAATGGAATGTCTCAGATTTACTCCCAAGGGTTGTTTTCAGAGTCTGCATGCTTACCATCCTGCAAGTGGTGGAGAAAGCTCTACTGGAGGAGCATTAGCCTATAGTTCTAGACTCAGAGGTCAGAAGTCCCCAAAATGTTTTGTAGTTCTGAGTGCTAACCCAGCCATGTGAATGTGTATTAATGTACTTGATCATACTGAATTACACCGTGCGTGTTTTACTCAGAACATGTCTGCCTCTATAATATTAAAGCATCTGTCACAGTGAAACATAATTCTTCTATATGTTTAATAGTCTCTGTGCGAAGCCTGGGATTGGAGGACCTGACTTTATTTTGGCCTTTTTAGAGTTGTCTCCCCTGATCATTTCGTGACCTTTTTAATGTGCTGATTAATCTTCTCCCTTTCCCTTTTGTTCCATATAGAGAAAAATGGTAAAGAATCTACCTCAATGGGAATGTCATCCTTACCAACTTTAGATGGATTTAATCGCCCAGCCCGTTCTGCAGGCCAGAGTCCTGAGATTGGTCAGCCCACGAGTCTTGCACCCTCTGTGTCTGCTCCAGACTGCCCTCTGGAGCCAGGGAACCCAGATGGCATCGAACCTAAAGCTGTGCCGGCTTGGGAAGCTTCAGCTGAGTTTCAGATGAACTCTAAGAATAAAGACCATTTTCCTGTCCAGGATCATTCTGGGCATGCTTCTTCAGCAGACCAGAGTTCAGTTATGCCTGCACAGAATTCATCCGAAGCAGCAGCTGTTGGGAGAAATCTGGAGGTATCTGCTGATACCCAGGGCCTCAGATGTCATCTCCACACACGACAGGAAGCTCATTTGTCCCTCACAACTACCCGGACGTTTTTAGGTTCTAAGGGTTGGCATCCAGAGAATCAGAACCTTAGTCCAGTAAACGACCTCCAGCACCACCAGGAACCAGAGAATCAACAGTTTGAGGTCGCACATCAGAATGCTCCATGTGACAGGGGGAACCTTGAGCTTCCTGGGGAAAGGCAGCAGAAGCAAGAAGCTGCCAATGTGGAAACCACGATGAAAGGAGTTGAGCTGCAGCAGGTGGATCTTCCAGATACAGGGGAGAGTTTTCTACCTTCAGAATGCTTTGGCCACTCAAATTCAGAAACAATTATGGAAATAGATATAGTTGAACAGTCCCTAGTTACTGTACTTAATTCCACACACAGTCAGAATGCCAATGTCCGAAATGTTAGTGCATCTGATCTTGCTTTAGATAATCCCTTGATGGAAGTAGAGTTATCAAAGTGTAACCCTTCATCTGAAATGCTGAATAATTCCTTTTCCATTCAGGATTTAGAGCCCCCAGAAGGTAATGTTGAAATGTCTGGAACACATAAAGAATGTGGGAGGTGTGCCCCCTCCTCCACTGTCTGTGACCACAGTCAACCCTCTTTGGAGTCCACAGAAGAATCTTGTTCGTCTGTAACGACAGCCTTGAAAGAACTTCATGAGCTTTTGGTCATTAGTAGTAAGCCAGCTTCAGAAACTACATTTGAAGAGGTTGTATGTCAATCAGAGAGAACAGCTGAAGGGCAAACGGGTATTGATGGCCTTTCTGAAAGATGGACACAAAACGAGCATCTTAGATGCCAGGATGAAGAGAGTCCACAAATCTTGCATGAGACCATATCTGTGTCAGGGAAGACAGAAAAATTAACAGGCACTTCACCTGGTGCTGGAATAGAAGATAGAGAAAATACTAACTTCCAGGGTCTAGGTGGTGGCCTGTCAGCTGATGAAGGTGACCCCAAATCTAGGAAATCAGTAGGTGAGAACAGGTCTGTTACTTTAACCTCACCTGAAACGTTTACTCAGTTAGACTGCACCGCGAGTATAGGAATCACAGGTGAGGAGGATACACCCAGTCAGACTTGCGAGCAAGCCAAGGCTTTGCCATCCAGTTTTGTGTTGGTTAAAGACTTGTGTCAGGGCATACAGAATCCAATAACAAACAGGCCTGAAACCAGAGAAAATGTGTGTCCTGAAGCTGCAAGACCAGTTTTTGATTTTGACTCACCTACCAGCCATTCATCAGCAGGTCCCGCCGTTCTTCCTCCATTCGTTTTTCCTGCTGCGGATATTGACCGCATTCTCCGTGCTGGCTTTACTTTGCAGGAAGCCCTTGGGGCTTTGCATCGAGTGGGTGGAAATGCTGACCTTGCACTTCTTGTTTTGCTAGCAAAGAACATTGTAGTCCCCACCTAACTGTGGAAAGTGGGCTGAACCATACTCCATTCCCTGGAAAAATGCTCTTTCTATACACACATGCACACACACACAGACACATACTCTGTCTCCCCCGCTTTCACACTCACCACATACACAATATATGTAGAAACCTGCAAACAGATTGTTGAGCCAGATTTTTTTTTTAAGATTTTTTTTCAGCCAAAGTAATTTATGCTCTCTGATGAATTTGTCTCTTCTACTTGTTAAAATTTGAATCTTTTTAAATGTATTGGCAGTATGTGCATACAGAAGCTTTTTATTCTCATTAAGATGATGTGTTCTGGAATAAAATGGATGGTTTTGTGTATAGCACACCATTTTAGAATGAGAGTGAATGCTTTGAAAGGCAGAAGCCATAAGAAATCTCACCACGCATGCAGCTGAAAACACCGCTTGTGTTTCTGTGCTGTAGGCAAGGTATGACTTTTTGACTCAGTCACCTACTCTGATGTTTGGAATTATATCCAGTGTTCTGTGTATTATGATTCATCAATTATTGCAAGAAGTTGAACAATAATTGAATAATATCTCCTAGCGTGATTTTTTAATTTGCTGCTTAGAATTTTAACAGGGCGAGGGGGGGGCTTCAATTTCAGGTACTTTTTGCATCGTAGGCTGCCGCATGGACTGATTGCCAAATACCTTTTTTTTATCTTGAGTGGGGTATCGTGGGGGAATTAATTTTAGAGTGAAACATGGTGCTACCCTGATTCAACAGGAGGAAGGGGGGAGACCTGTCGCTGCATTCCCAAACTTCAAGAACTGTGAGTGAAAGATAATGGCCGAGACACTGAAATTCATTGGAGGAGACTGAGTTTGCTAACATCTCACTGAGGACACCTCAAACCTTAATGACTAATAGTGAACTGAAGTTAATTGCCAGCAGCTTATTTGCTTTCCGAACTCATCTAGGAAGTTCTTCACAATCTCCCTGTGAGCTGTCACTGGAAGTGAAGCACTGAAGCATGATAGCCATGTCACTGATTCATCTTGGTTTTTGTAATGGCCAATCCATTTGGTGAGTGACCTTCATGGCAGTGGAACTAGTTTTGGACTCAAGTGGCCTTGGTAGAGTTTTCTCATCCCTTTTTTCCTCAGGAGTTTCTTTTTAAGCAAGATTCATCATATTTGTGTTTACCATGTCAAGTTAGAGTGGGGCATAATGCATAGTATTTATTGTGGCCTTTTTTTATACAAGGACTAGCCCTTGGAAATCCTTTGTCCTGGGGGCCCCACTGTGCAATAATCGTACTGGATAGATTTTAGGTGATTTTTTCCTGAAAAATAAACTCTCCTAGATAGCTAGTAAAAATCTGAAACCTGCGTTCTGAGAATAGGAATTTCTGATTGCAGGTTATAGTTTGCAGCATATCTGGAACAGACTTTGGAAGAGTGATTTCTGAATTTAAATGAATTTGTCTAATTCAAGTCATTGAGCACAGTTCCAACGGAGGCTCGTATCTCAGGAGTTTGTGAAATTTTTACTTTAGGCGCTCATAGGAGCTTTTCTCTGTCACCCGTTCCAGTTTGTTTCTTTTTGTGTGAATGTTGGCACGTGTGCTGTGAGAGACTTCAGTGTGTGACAGGAAGGCCCTTTATTGTCACACGAAGTTAGGAACAGGTTGAGGGAAGGAGCTGCTGTTTTCTGCTTCCCAGAGCACGTTCAACAGCTCTGCTAGGTTGTCTTCAAATGTTCTTTTAGACAATCACCCGTGGGAGTCCCTTTTGCCTGTCCTACACCAAAGATAGAAGGTGCGCTAGGAAACTACTTCTAGGATTTCTGTCAACCGATTCTTAGAACTGTGATTGTAATTAAGTAGTTGGTGCTATGATTGAAGCAAAGTCTAGTAGCAGTGCAGTGAGGCCCTGTGTTGGCTTCCTGGGTGGTGGTCTGGGTGTTTTGACCTTTTATTTAAAAAATATGTATATTTGGAGTCGTGGGGTGGGGAGGGGTGGGCAGCTAGAGAAAATTACCTGGGAGAGTGACTGCTCCCGAGGGGCCACCTGTGTGTACAGAGGCCTCACTGTGTGAGCAGAACAGACTTCGGCATTCTGTTCGACAGCATGACCAGAGTGTTCACAAAGTGGAGAATTGGGAGGAAGTCCCAGTATTGGTCTGGAGAAGATTGCATTACAATAGCTTTTCATGTGTTTATCTGTGTTTTTTAGGAGAAAGTTGAATAGGCCTTTAGTACACATATTCTTGATAGGGATACTATGTGCTTAACCCATTTGCCATATTTTCATCTTTATTTTTAAACTGTGTAATTGCTTTTAATTTTTAAAATTTAAACTTTCTGTCAATTTTTGTAAAAATAAAGTTGACATTGTTAGGATTCTTAATGACTGAAACTTAGCAGTTCTAGAACACAAAATATTAAGGAGCATTATACTAGTCACTGGTCAGTTTTATTCAGCGATTAGCACTTTAAGATCTCCAGAAATGCAGAAATTACAGATGAACTTCTAAGACGAGATCAGATCAATTCCTGTTTGTCAAGAGACGTGGTAAGAGCCAGTCGTCACCAGTGCTGGACAACTCCGTCGCCATAACCAGAAGTGGCAGTTCTGTGGTCAGCATGCCCCACCACGAGGGCCTCTGTCATCACTGAGGAGGGGGCGGGGAAGACTGGCCTGCAGTGTGTTCCTGTGATCTCGGCTATTCCTGGGCCATTTGTGCTTTCCAGTGACACCTCACAGGCCTGTGCACAGCCAGTAACCTTCAGCCCTTCTCTGGGCATTAGCCATTAATGTGAAGAAGAGCTGCTGACGGGGAAAGCTGGGTAGGTGTTAAGCATGCATATTCCAACTCGTACTCCACCACCTGTGGCTCTTTCTAGAGCATGAAACAAGAGACTTGGTGTCACTGATTCTAGCACGAGTGAATGTGCAGCCCTCCTGTCCTTCCCTGGCAAGTTTCCCCTCTAATGAAAGCCATGCACAAATATAGTCGGTTTAACTTGTTAGATCAAATCTATATAAACTCATGTCTGCATAAATACAAGTGTTAAACTCATACCTGTAGTTGATGAGTCATTTACACCTAATTTTTCATAGATGAAAAGGTGAGACATTTTTATACCTGCAGACATTAACATCATGGTGATGTTTATCCCACTGTATCTGTAACGGAGTACCTTGCAGGAGAGTAGTTAACTGCGTTCTGCTGGGCTACCTGGTGAGGGTCTGTGGGGTAACCATACCTCAGTACATCATAAGGGAAGCTAACCAAACTGGAAGTACCTGCCAAAAAGCCAAACTCCTCAGAAATTACTGGCTTTGTATAGATGATAACGAAATCAAAAGTTTCTCTTCTTAGAAGGTGAATGTTACCTTTCATTTTCTGTCTAAAAATATAGCAATGTCAGTTCCTCATAACAATAAAGCTTACTGCAAGACCGCCCTTGAGAACTGGAAATGGGTTGTAGGCCTTGGTTGTTGCTCTAGTTGTGCGTAGGAATCCATTGAATAAACTGAGGAACACGGGTGAACCTTTGAGGGACCTGCTTTTCTTTTGTGCCTTATTTTCTCTGGCTAGCAGAGGTATCAAATTGTCATGAGGAATGGAAGTGGTGCTGTGTGTCAGGAGACGATAGCCCTCCTGACAGGGGCATGCAGAGTGGCCCTACAGAAGGTTCACCCCGAATGGATTGAGATTGACCCTGCATCAAGTCATTAGATGATTTTTTTCAGATATGATTTCAATAGGGGTTTTTGCATTACACATGCCAAAAATGGTTTTTAGGTGTTCTATTATGTTTTTTGTTGTGCTGTCAAGTGTTTTTGATGACTAAAGGAGAGAAAAAAAAAACCCAGGAAGTTGGGCTATGCAGTGTGAGTCTGAACAAAGGCTCATTGCTGCTACTTTAATTAGTTCATCAGACACTGAGAGCCTGTGCCAGGCACCATGAACTCTAGTGTCACCAGCTTGGAATCCTGTCCCCACGAAGCTTTCAGTCTAGTAGGGAAACATGAAATGCATTTGAGCTTCAGGAACTTTTTAGTATGCTCTTAATTTAAAAAGTTGATTGGCTCCCGTTCAGAGCAGGCTTACAGTGGAATCAAATGCTGCAAGTCTAAGCTGAGAAAACCTGGAGACATTAGATACTGGGGAGTTTGTTATGCCAGGGAAGATGGCTCTGGCTGTGTGCTGTGACAGCCAATGGCTCCATCAGTAGCCCTTCAGGGCAGAGTAGAGGACTTGATTCTGCAGGATATGCTATTTGGAAATAGTGTGTCAGAGCAGCTACAGTAGCAAAGCAGGGGTTGTGGGACTGGATGGTGGGCTGCATCCTTTAACCCATCATACTGTTGAAACCCTGAAGCATACAAGTAGCATTTCCAGATGCCAGTAGTGATGTCTAAAGTTTACACTTTGGAAGGAAACATTTCACTAATGAGTTGATGGTTTTGTTGTGGGCTGTGGGGCTTGTGTAGTGAGAGGATACAGTTTCAGGTACCATACTGTGGAACAAAACCACCAAGTGGCTGAGGCATAGAAATTAGTTTCTTCTGCCTGAAGAAGGTGCAGCAATCTAGAAGACCAGAACAGGTTTGGGCATGGAATAGAAAATCAGTTTTACAGAACTCTTATGTGTATACCATCAGAAGTTTGCATTAGTGCATTTGGGAAGGCTATTTCTTTTTCCCATGGGAGATACTTCTGCCCACTGGAGCTGGCTTTGCTGTGTTGAGTGAATGCGTCTGTGGCCTAGAAAGGGAGCCCTGCTCCTGCTCAGGTACCCTGAGGCTGCCTGCACCACTTGTTCCTTCCCTGGATGCTCCATCTGAAACCTTTGCATTTGATTGGTTAAATTTCCACCCTTCACACCCCCTGAACATCCTTTTGAAGTTGTTCAATCTATTGATAAAATGCCTGGAGCAGTTCAACCTATTGATTTCCTTCCCTCCCACCCCCAACTGTGCACTTAAAATCAAATGCATTTTCTCATTTTTAATTCCAAATTGCATTTTCATGGCATTTTGGGTTGATAAATTTTGCACTCAAGAAAGGTTTGTTTACCAGTTCTGTAGCCATATCTGGCAAATCTTAACAAATAGAAGCTCATCGTTTCTTTCCTTACTTGTTCTTGCAGTGGCTTGTATATTGCAAGATAGTCCTGGCTTTTATTCTACTGCGTCTTACGTAAAGAACAAAGCTGATAGGCACAGTAGGCTTGCCAGTGGTGCCATCTCTACCATTTGCTTTGGTTTTAAGAGTTGGAGGAACTGAAACCGTAAGGGAACCGAACTCAGGAATCCCACAGTTGGTTGCATTGTGCCGTTGGTTTAGAGGCTGAACATAGGACCGGTCTGCAGCTGAGTGGACTAGATGTATGTGGATTTGAATTTTGTCACATACTGAAATGTAAGTCGGCCTAAATAATCAAAAGACTTTATTTTATTTTTCTTTTTTTAATAGGAACTTTCTGAAGAAAAAGTGGTGTGTAAAATATTTGATATTTAAGACAATAAAGTTTTTATCAAGACTTCTGTTTGACCAGTGTCTTTTAAAATGAGGTTATTACTTGACCCTGGGCCGTGTGGTCCCTGGACCCCAGAACACATGGACATCAGAGCCATTAACTTTTCAGATAACCATGACCAGAGGACAGCTATCCACGGACACAGCGGGTAGGGGTTTGTAATTCTGCTACTGTAGTTGGAGTACAGTAATGGAAATTACACTGACCATTAAATATGTGCCAAAAGACCAGCTCTGGGGCTAAGCTGCTCGGCTTGTGTGATAGGATATATTTGATGACCTTCCCATGCCTATGTGCTCATTGGTGAAATGGGTGGTTGAGAGATTGAACAAGTTAATACATGTGAGAATTTAGCAGTTCAATGATTGATATACAGAGAGGACTAGAAACAGGAAGATATTCCGTCCGATTATTGACTCATTTCCAAAGTGATCGCAACAGCTGGTGCTGCGCTGACCCGAAGCCAGGAGCCAGGAACTTCGTCCAGGTCTCCCATGTGGGTGCAGGGTCCCAAGGCTTTGGGCCGTCCTCAACTGTTTTTCCAGGGAGCTGGATGGGAAGTGGAACTGCCAGGATTAGGACAGGTGCCCATATGGGATCCCAGCGCATTCAAAGTAAGAACTTTAGCAGCTAGGCCACCGCACCGGTATCAAAAATTAAATTTTTAAAGTTCATTAAAAAAAAAAAAAAAGCTTTATCAGAAAGTAGTCACTCGGTGAACATTCCGTGTCCTGCAAGTCACCAAACTGGGGCTGTGATTACAGCATTGAGCTAAGCCAGAGTGCATGTTCCCACAGAGACGATAGAGCAGTCACCACGCTGGGTGGTGGAATGATTTGAAAGAAATTGTGTGGGTTAAAGCTGCGTGGCTGTGGTCTGCCCGGTCTTGGTCTTGTAGATCATCTGCATGCATTTGCAGGTGCTAGGGTTAGGCTGTGGGAACCTGGGCTGCTGCAGTGACCACCCCAGCTCTGGGAACTTCAACAGCTAAGCAAACACCTCTCCCTCAGGAGATGCAAGTCTGTTTGCCTTGGAAGAAAGGGAAAAAATCAAATCACACACACACTTAGCAGCCCACATTGTAGTGCAGCACCATAAGGCACCTGCATCACCTGTAATTCATATAAGCATTGGTTTGAATCCCAGATGCTGCACTTAATAATCCAGCTTCTTACTAAAGTGCCTAGGCAAGTAGAGGACAGATCAAATGATATCAAATCTCTCCAATGGGCCTGGCACAATAGCCTAATGACTAAATTCTCTCCTTATATCTGCCAGGATCCCATAATGGCCACTGGTTCAAGTCCCAGCTGCTTCACTTTTCATCCAGCTCCCTGCTTGTGGCCTGGGAAAACAGTGGAGGATGGCCCAAAGCTTTGGGAGACCTGGAAGAAGCTCCTAGCTCCTGGCTTTGGATCAGCACAGCTGCAGTCGTTGTGACCACTTGGGGAGTGAACCAGCGGATGAAGGATCTTTCTGTGTCTGCTTCTCTCTGTAAATCTGACTTTCCAATAAAAATAATTAAATCTGTGAAAAAAAAAAAACTAGTGATTTTTAAAAAGCATTTATATAGAAATTAATTTAGAACAAATTTCATTAGAACATTGTATTTGAAAGGCAGAAACGTACAGACTTCCCTCAATTGGGAGTTCATTGCTCCAATTGCCAGAATCAGCCGAGGTCCAGCCACGCTGAAGCCAGGAACCTGGAACTCCTATCCAAGCTCCGTGTGGATGGGAGGGACCTGAGAATTTGAGCTACTGCCTACTGCTTCCTGTGGTACACAGCAGCCTGAAACTGAATCAAAAGCCAAGATTAGGCGAGTTGAACCAGGTACTCCAATAAAGGATGGTGGCTTCCCAACTGACAACTTAACTTCTTTGCCAAATACCTGTTTTGTAACTCTTCATGGGTGTGGCTGGATAAAGCTACCAGGATGTCTCTCTCCGAAACAGTTTACAAAGCACTTGGAAAGAAGAGTAAAGGAGAGCTGGGAACCTGTGTGGTCTTCCTTATTTTTTTAAATTATTCTTTATTTTTTAAAGATTCATTTATTTTTTAATTTTTTAAAACTTTTTTTTAAAAAAACATTCATTTATTTTTATTGGAAAGGCAGATACACGAGAGGAGGAGAGACAGAGGAAGATCCTCCGTCTGATGGCACGTGCAAGGTGAGGACTTTAGCCAGTAGGCTATTGTGCTAGGTCTGTGGTCTCTTTTTGTATTAGTCTTTTGCTGTTGTTACTTTAACAAGCCTGGGTTGGACCCAGCAGCGTGGCCTAGCAGCTAAAGTCCTCACTTTGAACGCCCTGGGATTCCATATGGGCGCCAGTTCTAATCCCGGCAGCCCTGCTTCCCATCCAGCTCCCTGCCTGTGGCCTGGGAAAGCAGTCGAGGATGGCCCAAAGCCTTGGGACCCTGCACCCGCGTGGGAGACCTGAAAGAGATTCCTTGTTCCCAGCTTCGGATCGGCATAGCACCGGCCGTTGCGGCTCACTTGGGGAGTGAATCATCGGACGGAAGATCTTCCTCTCTGTCTCTCCTCCTTTCTGTATATCTGACTTTCCAATAAATAAATAAATCTTAAAAAAAACAAGGTTGGGTTAACTTTATAAAGAAATAAAGGTTTATTGATAGTTCATATTTCTGGGGGTTCAAGTGCATTGGCACTGCATCAGCAGAGCCCTGGTGAAGCCCCTCAGCAGCTGGTGGCATAATGGTAGGTACTGCACAAGCAGCAGATCTTAGCCCAGGTGGTCTTGGGTGTGGAGTGGAAAGGCAGGGATCCAACGCCTGTGATGGCATGGGCGGAGCCACAGTGACCTTCCCAAGGAAGCCTCCACCCTGTGCACCTCCCTACCACTTAAACACATCCTACCACCCACTACATTAGGTTTGAAGAACATAGGAGGTCTTCGAATTTTGGAAATTAGCATCTTTAGGAAGACCAACTAGATGTTAAGACCAAACAGAAGAAATCACTACATACTATTAAAGAAAGGGACTATTAAAGAAAGAAAAATCAACATCATCACAATGCTAGTAGATCCACAGAAAAATTCTGGCCCATGAGACATCCAAAGTGTGTTATTTCTGCGGACTCAGAGGGTTGGAGGCTTGTTGGATTTCCAATACACAAGTATTTTTGCAG